TATTTTTCGTAGCGACATAGGTTTAATAATACAAGGCGCTCTATGGAGACGCAAAGCCAGAGTTTTATTCGTTCTGTGTAATATCAAAGGCCGTGTATTCTTGGTACGACATTGAGAATAATTGTACCATCTCTGTCTTTTTCTACAAGTCTCTCGAAAGTTTTGTCCAGCAATGAAGTGTGTGCCCAGATCGGAGTTTAAATTCATCTGTCCCGACACCGCTTGTGGCTTACCTCACATCTCAAGCAATCATGCTCTCAGATTCAGAATATGGTTCTGAGAGTGATGGCTTGCATCAAATAACAGTGAACGAACACTTTGCAAAAGCATACCAGGCCAAAAAAGAGCGAGAAGACTTACAAAAACGTGCGTCTAAGACCGTCACCTTGTTATTAGAATGTACTCAAGATTATTATTTCTCTTGTACCTGTCTTTACGCAACTTTTCAAACCCACTCGGTACCCTGACTTTGATTTCCCAACGGGCGAATTGTTTCCATAGTCAAGGAAAAATATGGATCAGATGCGGAACTCGAGGATGAGTCCGAAGACTCTGAAGAAGACGAGTCCGAAGATGAAGATGGAGAGGAACTTACTCCTGCTATGGACGTTGCGATGCTTCGAACTTTGGCACTAATCAAGAATAAAGATCCATCCATTTATGACACCCAACGAAATGTCTTTGAGGGTAAGCAGGGGCTGGTTGTTTGGGATCTTTAATGTAGGATATTATTCTGACAAGACGATAGATCAGCAGCAAACAACCTCGAGTATGCAGGTCAAGAAGAAGGCCAAGGATAAGGTTAGGAGTACAAATGTTCTGCCCATTGTGACTGTATACTGATTTGAGATAGACCAAAGCGTTGCATATCAAGCAACATGTTCTCAACTCTATTTTAAACGAGGACACTGATGAGCCCCAGCCTTCCTCCGCTCCAATGACTTATGTTCAAGAGCAACAACACCTAAAGTCCGAGACAATCAAAGCTTTCAAAGACGCAGTCTCGTCTGAAGATGAAGACGACCTCCTAGTGGCACGTGAGAAGACAAAAGACGAGATTGAGATTGAAGAAGAGGAGTATCGAGAGTTCCTACAAAGAGAGGTTGGCCCAAATATTGACCTACAAGATTTGATTACTGTCGAGGAAGGTATAGAGCGTATCCATGAAGAGGGTGAAGGGGATACCACCATCCACGGAAATAACAAGAAGGGCAAAAAGTCAAAGAGCCTCAAGAAACAAGAAAAGAGGAACGAAGAAACAGATCGAGACTTCTTGTTCAAGTGAGTGCTGTTGGCGTGGACAACCTGTTTGAAGCTCATGAACCTCGTCCAGCTATATTCTCAATCGAGGATGGATTGATCGTGATTCAGAAAGGATCCCTACATATGACGAAATCACCACTTCGAAAAAGCCTGAGAAGAAGTCTAAGCGAAAGAAAAATGATGAAGAAGTCGTAACAAATCCAACGGAACCTCATATGCAAAACGGATCTCCAAGCCCCAGAGAAGAACTCGATTCAGTAGATGAGGAAGATAATTTCGATGACCTCACAGAAAGATTTGAGAGTTCTTATAACTTTAGGTTTGAGGAACCGTGAGTGTAAACACATCGTATCCCGTTTGCTTTCTAGCTAACGTGCTTATTAGAGGATCCTCTACTATTGCCACTCATCCGCGTAATATACCTTCTCTTGTTCGTCGACAAGATACCTCCAGAAAAGAGGCGAGAGAGAAAAGAAAGGAGCGAAAGGAAGAGGAAAAGGCATTGAAGAGAGAGGAGGTCAATCGGTTAAAAGCACTCAAGATGCGAGAAATCCGAGAGAAAGTCGACAGGATCCAGAAAGAAGGTGGCAAAGGTGTTAAATCAGAGGCTCTTAAAGGGCTAGAAGAGGACTTGGACGAAGAATGGGATCCTGCTAAACACGATCGTCATATGAGAGAAATG